CATTGAATTGGGGTGTATGCGCAGGTCTATGTATAGACATTGAATTGGGGTGTATATCGCAGGCCTATGTGTAGGTCTATCTGCATGCATTGAAACGGGGTGTATACGCAGGTGTATTTGCATGCATTGAATTGGGGTGTATGCGCAGGTTGGGAAGACGAGTCGAAAGTACGACAACGACTTTGCAATTTACGACTACCGCAAATTTGACTTCGGAATGGCTAAACTCTCCGCTCTCAACTTAGCAGGCATGCATGATGCTGCTGTTCTTATTGTTACAGACTGGGAGGAACAGCAGCAGCAGCAGCAGCAGCAGCAGCAACAGCAGCCTGCTGCTGATGGTGCTGCTGCTGGTGATCCGGCTGCTTCTCGTTCTCCTGCTGCTTTTGCTCCTGCTGCTGCAACTGCAAAGAGTCAGGACCAAGGAAGAGCTGCTGAGGGCTCAGCAGCAGCAGCAACAACAGCAGCAGCAGCAACAACAGAAGCAGCAGAGACTGAAAAGAGCCCACCTGCCTCAAAGAGGAAGCCAATAGTGTTGCAAGTTATTCATGTCTCCACAACAGACGAAATCGATAGGATCGGGCACAGCAGCAACAGCAGCAGCAACAGCAACAGCAACAGCAGCAGCAGCAGCAGCAGCAGCGCTGGGCCTGCAAGTCCCTTAGTCAATCCTCGCTTTATAATTCACGTGGGGCGCAACGCCAAATGCCGAGTGCATCAAACACACGTCAGCTTCTCCTCTTTGCTGTCTTCCGCTGAGCAGGAGCAGCTCAAGCAAATCAGGCAGCAGCAGCAACAGCAGCAGCAGAAGCAGCAGAAGGGCTTCCGAGGCCCCTTCATCAACTCTGCCACCAGAGTGGTTGTGGAGGAGGGAGGCGAACTGCACCATGTCTATGCCCAGGTGACTGCCTCACGAACCAGCTGGCAGGCTAGCTAGCTAGCTATCTAGCTAAATAGCTAGCTAAGTAGCTGGCTAGCTAGCTAGCCATATGTAAATATGTAGACAGGTGATGGTGGCGGCTGTGGCTTTGGTTAGGGCACTGACTTGATGTGTCGTTGCAGCTAAACTTCATGTATTAGGGCTGAGCGTCGAGATATCTCTACACCTGAGACAAAATTAGCTGTTTTTGCAGCAGTCTGTACAGCTAATGCTTATGTGTATATAAGCTGCATGTTTAGGTGTCTGTACACCTGAGAATTGTAAATAGAAGCAGCATGTTGAGGTGCCTGTACACCTGAGATTTGCGAGTTGCAGGAGCTGGATGAGACTGCTAACCATGTGGAGAATATCTCCGTCTGCTGCCGCCCTGGCGCGCAGTACCGCCTGACCCACGTCGACTTGGGGGCAGCCTTCAGCCGCTTCGCGCTGCAGGTCTGGCTAGCTACTGCTCTAGCTAGCTGCATGTCTAGCTAGCTACGTGCATAGCTAGCTATGGATCTAGCTAGCTGCATGTCAAACTTGCTATGTGCATAGCTGGCTACGGGTCTAGCTAGCTACATGCAGGTCTAGCTAGCTACGTGCATAGTTTGCTACGGGTCTAGGTAGGTATGAGTCTTTTTATTGTTGTTGTTGCATCTGCTGCTTCTGTTGCTGGTGCTGTTGCTGCTGCAGGTAGAAGGGGCTGAGGGCTCTTCGCATATATCCCGCGGGCTGTCGCTGCTGCACAAAGAGCAGAGACACTCCAAGTTTGAAATGTTTCATCACTTGGAGCCAAACGCAACCACCGACCAAGTGCATAAAAGCCTCGTCGCAGGAAAAGGTGCCGCACTCCCCACCCAGCTAGCCAGCTAGCTAACTAGCTAGCCGGATGTTTAGCTAGCTAACCAGCTGTTTAGCTAGCCAGCCAGCTATTTAGCTAGGTAGCTAGCTAAATAGCTGGCTAGCTAGCTAGCCGGCTGGCCAACTGGGTAGCCGGGTGATTAGCTGGCTAGCTAGCTGGCTAGGCGCGTAGATACGCAGGTAGCCAGCTGGCTAGCCTTCTTAGCTAGCTAGATTGGAACCTTAGCTAGCTAGCTAGCTAGCTGCTGACTAGCTAGCTCACGAGACAGTGGCAAATCGAAGAAAGCTTAGGTGCTTCTGCAATCCCTGCTTCTGCTGTTGTTGCTGTTGGTGTTGCTGCTGTTGGTGTTGCTCTTGCTGTTACTGCTGTTGCTGTTGCTGCTGCTGTTGCTGCTGAGTACTGGTTGCATGCAGGGAGAGCTGTGTGGCGGGGTCGTATTCGAATAGAAAGAGAGGGGGTTGGAGCTGACGCCTCCTCTTTAAATCGCGTAGTTCTGCTGGAAGATGGCTCCAGCTGTGTGGCAGTGCCTACGCTGGAAATCATACCCGAAGACATCAAAAAGGTAAACCCTAAACCCTAGGGTTTACACTGCAGAACCAGCTTGCGAAAACGCGGGTAGAGGGTCTGCGTGTCAGTGAGGGTTGGGCTACAGCGTAGGGTTTACGGTTTAGGGTTTAGGGTTTAGGGTTTGTGCAGGCGACGCACGGGGCAGCTATACGGGACTTCGATACGGAGCCGCTCTTTTTCATGCGAAGTCGGGGGCTTCCAACAGAGGAGGCTAAGCGGTTGCTGATGCTGGTGAGGGTTTAGGGTTTGGGCTAGGGTTTACGGTGGGCGGTAGTGCTTAGCTGAAGGTTTAGTCGTGAGGGTTTAGGGCCTAGACCTTAAAACCGTAGGCAGCAACCGTTGAACGCTGCCTTCTTGTTCCCTTGAGCGTTTCTGGGGCTTTATGCATGCATGCATCCCCATGTCGGGCTCCATGCATGCATGCATACATGCATCAAGCCCGAATGCATGCATAAAGCCCCAGATCCGCCTACACACCCTCTTATTTTGCGTTCCTTGGTGGCCAAGTGTGCTATATGCATGCATATTTAAGGTTGGTGTTGGTGTCAGGCGTTTGCTGAGGACGTTGTGAGGCCAACGGAGGACCCGCAGCTGTCGGCGCGTGTGCAGCAGAAGGTGCAGCAATTGCTGCCAAAGGGCGGCGAGAGAGGGGAAGAGATGCAGCGCCACCACATGTTCCGCGGGGGTGATGGGGGTACCTGAACATCCTCACTTGCGTTGCTGCGCCCCCAGCTAGCTGCTGTCTGGCTAGCTGGCTAGATGGACATCCAGCTAGCTAGCCAGCCATAGGCCCAGCTGCCTACGTAACAAGTTGTCTAGCTAGCTAGCTGGGTAACTACCTGGCTATCTTGCTATCTTTTAACTTAGTGTATAGTGAGCCAAGTGCCCAGGCAGCTAGCTAGCTAGCTGGCTATTTGGCGGTGCACTTGCTACCCTCTGTATGCATGCAGTACATGCGTGCTACATTGAGAGAGGAGAAATCGTAGAGAGGTGAGGCTTGGCAATGGCTTGCTCCCACCTCTGTTCGCTCTGTCGACAGCTAGCTAGTTAGCTAGCTGGCTACGCACTAGCTAGCTGGCCAGCTAGCCAGTGAGCTAGCTGGCTACGCATCAGTTAACTAGGTAGTTAGCTAGCTAGCTAGCTATCTACACAGCGCGGAAGCGCCGAGAGGCTGCGAGGCCCTGCGAACGCCGGGCCGCGCGCTCGATAAGCTGTTGTTAACTCAGACACAGACAAGAAAAGGAAGACAGAGAATGTTTGTTTATAAAAACAAACAGCAAAGACAACTCCAGGAAAGAAGATAATAGACAATATACACGCTGCAGGGTCAGCCACTGCAGCTCCGCGTATACATATATATTATACACAAGAGGGCGGGAACTATATAGTGTATATATAATGACATCTATATATAAATATATTTGTATATTATATAAAATGTCATATATATATTCTAATATATATCATATAAGAAGCGAGAGGCAGGAAGTGCTGGAGGGGGCAGAAGAAGCTGCAAGAAGAAAAACCATCCGCCGCGTGCTGCTCATATCTGCTGCAGCAGCATCTCCTGTTGCTGCTGCTGCTGCTGCTACTGCTGCGGCTGTTGTTGTGTCTGCCGCACCAGCAGGCGCGGCTGTAGAAGCTGCTGATGCTGCGTCTCCTGCTGCCGCACCTGCTGCTGCACCACCTAGTGCTGCGGCTCCTGCTGCCGTAGCACCTGCTGCCGTAGCACCTGCTGCTGCAGCACCTGCTGCTGCAACACCTGCTGCTGCAGCACCTGCTGCTGCAGCACCTGCTGTAGCACCTGCTGCTAGAGCCCCTGCTGCTGCAGCGCCTGCTGCTGCAGCACCTGCTGCTGCAGCACCTACTGCTGCAGCACCTGCTGCTGCAGCGCCGACTGTTGCAAAAGCAGGTACCTGCTGTTGCTGCTGCGCGCGTTGGTGCAGTAGCAGCAGCTGATGTTGTTGTTGGGGTTGCTATTCGCCTAGAGTATATAGAGAGCATGCAAGAAGGAATCCGTCTTACTCTCCTCTTTGTTCGCCGCAAGCCACTCCGTTCTTCTTGCTCTCTTCCAATCCAATACTTTACTCTGCACTTCTTTTTCTTTATCATGAAGTTTCGCCAGTTCGGTGCACATGCTGTCTACGCCGAAGTTTTGCTTCCAAGCATCAGCATCGATTTCACATAGCGAAGCAGCTCTTCTATATGCCGACACTGCACCTTCGCTCCGTTTAAAAGCGTCGAGGGGAAATGTAAATGAACCCCAACCCGCTATTTCTACACACACAGTGCGGTCACCCTCCACCTTTTCTAGAACATCCTGCTGCAGCGGCTGCTGCTCCTGCTCCTCCTGCTGCTGCTGCTGATCCGTCTTGCTGGGCTCTTGCCCTTGTTGGTGCTTTTGCTGCTGCTCCCCCCCCTTCACCTGCTGCTGCTGCTGCTGCTGCTGC